AGTATGAGGACCATTTGACCTGAATATTTCCCCACAGTCTGGATTTTGCTGAATGTCAACACAAGATTCAGTTCAGTACATTTCTCTGTTCTTGGTATCTGCTACAAATGGAATCAGATAAGACAAATTCTGATCAAACTTAATTGCTATCAATTTTCCCCCCAGACTATATGTCATGGTGTGTTTTTATAGTGGGAGGCAATTGTGTTGGAATTCCTCTCTTTTGTGATGTTCAAAGCTATTGATGCTTCATGATGGGATCCCGTAATAATTTGGGGTTTTATAAGGTATAATTTTATTTCTATTATTTTAGGTGGGAAGCTTTTATAAAAGAACCTTCCCTTTATCTACAATTTTAGTCATCTAATTAATCTTCATTCTATCTTCAGAAGTTTCTCCTTTGCATATTAATCTACCTGAAAGGGAAACCTGGGTGGCTAGTTTTTTTTTATTATTATTATTAGTTGCGCACGACAATACAATGTTCTTGACATATCATCCATTTGAATCAAATGGGGTATAATTTCTCATTTTTCTGAGTGTACAGGTTGCAGAATCACATCAACTGCTCTAGCCTGCTGGTACTTACCACATCCCTTTTACTGAAACACTATTGCATTAGGTGGTCCCTCTCCCAGTGCTATTCTGCAATTGGCCCATGCCTCTTTTTACTGCTCTGACTGTTTTGGTMTCAGGCATTTCAGGCTACTGAAATACCACTGTGACAGTTGTGGCTACTGGTGGTTTTTCCTCATCCCTTTGTAGTTTGAGAGTTGTGGAGATAAACTGCTATGTACTTTTATTTTAAAATACCATTCCTGTGTTTTCTGTTCTGCTGTCTGGGTCTTTTGTCTTTTCTCATGATGGGGTTTAGAAAGTTTGTAAAGCAATGCAGTGGACATTTCACACTCCTTCCAGAGCCATGTGCTAACTGGCTTATTGGAGGCTGAGGGTAGGTAACATGCCACAGTGTGTGGAGCAGATAAAAGTGCAGRAAGAGGTCTAGGGTTGGGGGTTTCTCAAAGTACCAGGACTTCTTCTTTTACCAAAAAGGACACCAATCTCTTTTGAAGAGTCTCATTTCCTAGTTCAAATTTATTTTCTTGCAAACCATGTTAAATCTTTCCAATCATGAATACATCCCTTGTTTTATTGTTGGTCTCACCTGGATTCAACTCTAGCTGTGCCATAGATTAATTCTTCAAACTTGGAAACATTGGTTTAATTATCTGAGGCTTGTGCACATACAATCAAGAAAAGAAAACTTATATACCTTATCAATCCCGTTTTTCCAGGGTTATTCTTATATTTTCTTTCCTCCCACCCTTACTCCCTACCAATACCTACCTTAAATACAAATCAATTTTGTTTTGTAATGTTTTATTTGGTTTTGTAGTGCTGGGGCTTGAACCCAGGGTCTTATGTGTGCTAGATGAGGTTTGTACCTTCATACCATATCCCCAGACCCTATAAATTTCAACTGATATTATCCTCAAAATATCTATAGAACCTGCTCATTTTTCTCCATCCTTATCACCATTGCCACATCCACTAATGAAAAGTAACATCTTTGATTGCCTGGACCAGGCAAGCACCCTCCTGCATCACCTCTCAGCATGCCCTCTGACCCCTTTTATACACACTCTTTGAACTCATCCAGAAAAATTTCAAAACATAATAGTGTCAACCTTTTGTTTCAGTAACATTGACCATGTCAACTACTTTATTAAAACTCTTCCTGGTCATTTCATTGCATATGGGATTTAGGTGAAACTGGTTTTGAACTGAAAGTTCTAGCTTCTGTGCATCTCTCAAACTCTCTCCAATTGCCATCTCTATTTCAGTCACATTGACCTATTCTCATCACAGGGATTTTGCACATGCAATGTCCCTTTCTTAAAGTGCTTTTCTCTCTCTTCTTTACCCAGTTAACTTTAGATAATACTTTAGATCTCACTTTGAGCTCCTCAGTGAACTCTTTCCTGACCTCCAGAGTAGAACAGATCACACACAACACCAAACATCTTTACTTCTCTACCTGTAACATTTAATTATGATAGTGTATAATCACTATCTCTTTATACCTCTAGTCCTTAAACTTTAGACTTCTCAAGGGCAGAGATAAGGTTGTTTTTGCTCACTATTGTATTCCTAGCACAATGTTTGGCACATAGCACTTAAAAACTTTTTATTAAATAAACGAATGTTTTTAAGATTATTGTAAATATATGATTCATATTGTGCAGTCTTTTTAAAACATATTTTTTATAACTTTATTTATTTACTTTTTATGTCRTGCTGAGGATCAAACCCATGGTCTCACCTGTGCTAGGCAAGCACTGTACTACTGAGCTACAGCCCCAGCCCAAGTGCACCGTCTTAAGCCATTTAACTTTACCTATCAATTAACTTCTTTTGTATACAAAATTAAGTTATTTTAAAGTAATCATTCATTAGATACCAACTTACTGGAAGTGGTGAGGTTGGAGGCTTCCATTCAACCACATGAGCAGGTTGTAATGAAATCAAGTCCTAATTATACTCACCCATACCCACACACACTCATACACATAAAAATATAATCATTTCTGTCAGTGTGGCACAAAGTTCCATAACCCTCACTGCTTCTTGCTTATCTGAGAAAACTACTTGAAATTCACAACTAGGCAAATACAATAATATTCTCATTGGGATTAATCCATGTACATCATGTTGGGGGAATTTTTTTGAAGCTATAACAATTGGGCTATTCAGAATTTCCGAGTTCTCTGCACTACCCAAACTCAGAATGATTATCTTTAAGCAAAACCATCAAGTACTAAGAGTTTTATGTTCCTAACTTACTCTAACTGCTAAGATGAAAAAAAAATGTAATAAACAATAAAGCAGTTCCTGTGTATGTGTGATTACTTTGGAATAAAGCAAGTGAATAGAAAGGAACTTCCCTCGTTWAAAAAAAAAATCTGAGTCATTGTTCCTTAGCTGTATAATAGTAGCTCAAAACAATGCAGATAATTATGATTTATTATGAACATTCTCCAAGCACCTGAATGCTGAGGTTCCTTGAGCCTACAATGAATGAGTCATTATAACTTGTTTGTGCAATTCAGAGAGGAAAACAACAAGCTCATAACTCCCTCTCACACTAATGATAAGGTGACACATACTTAATCAAAATAAAGGTCACTGAAATAATTCAGAGGTTGATTGTCAATGGAATTATTGATGAGTGTCCTTTGTAATTACTAAAAAAAACAAATTTTAGGAAAAGGATATAATAATCATGCAGATTAGATTAGTGGTTAAAAAACTGGGGGTAATTTGTTCTCTTATTGGACATTTGATGATGTCTGGGGACATTTTTTATTCTCACCACTGGGTGGATTGTTACTGGCATCTAATAAGTAGAGGCCAGGAATCTGATGGCTTAGCATTTTGCATTGCAAGTACACCCCCAGCCCACTCCAGCATGGATTCATCAGGTACAAAGTGTCAGTAGTGATGCACCTGAGATCATAAATAAGGAGCCATTCAAGCTGAAAATGACCTGTGGCTCATTGGAACCATCTTGGATTTCAAGATGCAAATGACTATGGATGGAAACTAAGCTAAGACTAGGTTCTTCCTTCTCCACCATACTCTATTTTTAAATTTTTTTTTAGTTGTAGATAAACACAGTACATTTATTTAATTAATTTTTATGTGGTGCTGAGGATCGAACCCAGTGCCTCCCATGTGCCAGTCAAGAGCTCTATCACTAAGCCACAACCCCAGCCCTCCACTATAGTCTTATTATTGAATATATAATCTACTATTGTCTCCTTGGTGACATAATACATAGATAAATGAAAGACGAATTTTACAGTGATAACAGACTTTCAAGAAAACAGATTGAAAATGTAGCTTGACTTTTTTTTGAGGTAGGTATTATTTTTATACTTTGCCTTTAAAAGTCTTACCTAATTTTTTTATAATTCTCTCCTTTCCATTCTCCTCTTTCCTTACCCCCTGTTAGTGCTTCCCCCCCAATTAGTATATGACCTTCCATATTTTTCTGTGTTCACATAGCTAGAGAAGTGAACAGTATGCATTATTGTTACTCACACATATTTTTTGTTGGTGGTATTTAGCAAATCTCATTTTATACGTAATCTTCTACAACATACAGTTCTCATKCAAAAATATTTCATGAGAAATATTTCCAAAACAAATGATATACACCCTCTTTCTTCTTTTAGGAGTATTTATCTACCATGCTTGATTCAATCATTCACCTATTAATGGACATTTATTTCTCTGTTATTTTTTTACATGGTAAAATACACTAATGTTCTTTGGCAAATATCATTATGCCCTGTTGTTTTTATTTTAATGGGACGGATTCTCAGAAGTGGGACTGCGTAGTTGAGAATTCGGTAAATTCCTGATAAATGMAGAAGCAAGAGAATCTTTTTAGTTAAAATTAGAAAGCCCAAAATGTATAGAAGAGAAGTCATATGCTTTAAATTTAAGTTAAAATTTTAACTATAAGTTAAATTGTAGGTGGGAAAGTATTCCTGTCAAAAAATGTCTACTTTTGTAAACTGTTTATCAGGTAATACAGATAATGTTCAAAAAGAATAAAATCCAAGTAGCTTCTTTTATTTTTATTTTTATTTTTTTTAATTTAAAATATGAAATGTTATGAATACAAAATAAATGTGGGGTCCGAAAACCACAGTATGAGATAGCCAACAGCATGGCTTATATCACATCCCACCTCCCCCTTCCCAGCCTCATGTTTAGGCAGTCACTGCAAGTCTGCTCTGAGATTATACGGTCATTATGGTCTAAGAGTCACATTTGAAGCAGCAACCTAAACCCATACCAAGAAGGACTGTCCTCTTCAAGAATTCCAAATGTCTTTTGYAATAGCTTCTGCAAGGCAGGCCCAGCCCCTGAGAGGGTGGTGCTGTGCTGGGGGACGTGAGTCCCCCAAGAAGCTGAGTGAAGTTTGGAGATTAATACTGAAAACTGAGCTTTGTCTGGATAGAATCAAGAATCTGCTGCAGTTCCTCATCTTCAAATCGCGCCCGMAGGCTTGGAATCAGAGTCTTGGACTCCTCYGCAGTCTCTGGGCAAAGGTTGGCCAAACAGGCCAAYTCAAACTTGTGGAGCTTTTTCTGGCGCAGCAAGCTGCGGACACTTGTAATGGTCTCTTTGTTTTTGAAATGACTGAACCGGGAAGTGTACTTTAAAGTTTTCATGTAGACGTCTGAGAATTCCTGCTCATCCTCTGCACTCTCACTTTGTTGCTTTCGATGCTCCAGAAGCATATGAACTTCTGAATTTAGAAGAGTCTCCGCTGTTTCAAACTCTTTGGGAAAGACAAGCTGTGAGGCATCCTCTTCCACGTCACCGGACCWCGGATCCCTGCCCCCGGAAGCCATAGCCACACGGTGTACTACCACGAACACCACCGGAAGCGGAAGTGTGGAGCAGCCGGCTGCCGCCCGGAAGGGGTGGGACGGCTAAGTAGCTTCTTTTAAAAAAGTGTTCTTAGTTGTTGATGGACACACGTCTTCCTTCTTTCCTTCCTTCCTTCCTTTCTTCCTTCACCACAATTCCAGCTCCCCAATAGCTTTTTTAAACTGTCGGAAAATTGCATTAAAGAAACATTAAAAATCATATGCAAATGGCTAGCAAACATATAGGAATATATTAAAATTCTGCAGGCCACCAAACTTCATATTAAAGTAGTGACTTACTATCACTTTATACCTATATACTGGCAAAATTAAAAAGGATCCTAACACTCACTGCAGGCAAAAAGATATTAGCCTACATTCCTTTTGATAATGTAAATTGTAAGGCATTTGGAAATCAGCCTGGATTAATTTTTTCAAATTTATGTGTGGTCACAGAAGCAGCAGTTGTTCAAGCATTTTGGGAAAAGCATATCAGAAAAAAAGTTTCGTTAGTAGCTTATAATACTAGTAAATTACCAAAATGAGAGCCAGAGATGAGCTTCAACTACTGTGTACACATTCACATAGTACTCCCCAGTGAACAATCCTATYGTATCACTTGGGTCAGATATTTAGCAGTTCTCTCCCTTTTCCTAAATTGCTAGATAGCCAGGCCAAAGCCTGTTCTTGGTTAAATCGTGGTGGGAAGAGTGTGTCAGACAGGTTCATCCTTAAGCTGTAATTCAAGTTGAATTCTAGACACACCAGGTTTCAATGCTGTCTCCCTGGGTTTTAGTCAGCTTTTTCACCACTGTGACTAAAAGACCCCACCAGCACAATTGTAGAAGAAAAATTTACCTGAGGGCTCACAGTTTCAGAGGTCTCAGTCCATAGAAGGCCAGTCCCATTCCTCAGGGCTCCAGGTGAGGCAGGATGTCCTGGTGGAAGAGTGTGGCAAAAGGAAGCAGCTCACAATGACAAACAGAAAGCAGAGAGAGAATGACTCCACTCTCCAGGTACAAAATATATATACCCCATAGCCACGCCCCCAATCAATCACATCTTCCAACCACAKCCCACCAGCCTCCAGTTACCACCCAGTTAATCCCACCAGGGATTAATTCACGGATTAGATTAAGGCTATATAATTTAACCATTTCTCCTACGAACCTTCTTTTTTTTTTTTAAACATACGATTTATTTATTTGTTTTTAGTCATACATGACAGCAGAATGTATTTTGACATATAAYACATACATGGAATGTACATACATCAATCATATTGTCTATTCTGCTGCCCTTCTATCCTCCCTACTCCTCCCCTCCTCTCCCATCCTTTCTCTCTATCCAATCTAATGGGACATATTTTTTTTTTCTTTTTCTCATCACAACATCATATATGTATTCTGTATAACAATGAAGTTCTCCTTCCATCTTCCATGCAACTCCCCTTCTCCCTCTTTTTCCCTCCCACCTCTCTTCCCTATTTAGTGGTAGTTGTCTTCTCATGCTCTTCCTTCCTATCCCATTTTGAGTCACACCCTTATATTAGAGAAGACATTCGGCATTTGTTTTTTAGGGATTGGCT